GCTCAAACAGCAGACTGACAGATCCGACAGCCTATCAGAGCAGTTCAAAGCCACAAAGACCCGCCTCCACGACCTGGAGCACCAGTCAGAGGAGAAGAACAACTCCATCAGCAGTCTGACACAGGAACTGGAGCGCCTTCGACAGGAAGTGAAGGTTCTCTTTTTTTGTGAAAGCCGGTTGGTTGATCCTGGATCGTGTTCATGATGACTCACTGGCTGATGTGTTCAGGAGGAGGAGGGGCAGAGCAGCAGCGTTTTCCACGCCGCCATGGAGGAGCTGAAGAAGGAGAGCGAGGCGGCGCTCCAGCGCTCTGCTCAGAAATCCCAACAGATCGAAGAGCTGCAGACAGACAAGCGGCGGCTGGAGGCGGAGCTTACGCTCAGGTGATCGATATTGCCACCAATCAGGTTTTATCGATCCATAAACAGAGGTTGAAACTCTTCTTCTCCTCCTGCAGTGAGAACAGGTGCGCTGAGCTCAGAGAGGAGCTGGCCAATCAGAGAGCAGAATTCTCCCACCAGCTGGAGAGCCTGAGGGCGGAGCTCGATTCAGAAGGCGACGCCCTACAAGCAGCATTTCAGGACAGCGAGGAGAGGAGGCGGCAGCGGGAGATGGAGGTGGGAGGTAAGTAACCAATCAGATGAGCCGAAGGGGACGGTCAGCTGGCTGCTGCTCTCAGCTGATTGGCTGATGATGTTGTTTGTGTGTCAGAGCTGCAGCGAGTCTTGGATGAGAAGGAGAAAGGTCTGGAAGAAAGCCGCCAACAGGTGGAGACGCTCAGTCGAGGTAACGCGCTCTGATTGGTTACCTGAAAACTGTTTCCTGTTAACGCTCACGTCAGGGCACACTGTGCGCGTGTGTGTCTGTGTCTGTGTGTCTGTGCGCGTGTGTGTGTGTGTCTGTGTGTGTGTCTGTGTGCGTGTGTGTGTGTCTGTGTGTGTCTGTGTGTGTGTGTCTGTCTGTGTGTGTCTGTCTGTGTGTGTGTGTGTGTGTGTCTGTGTGTGTGTGTGTCCGGCACTGTCTGTCTGTGTGTGTCTGTCTGTGTGTGTCTGTCTGTGTGTGTGTGTGTGTGTGTGTGTCCGGCACTGTCTGTCTGTGTGTGTGTGTGTGTCTGTGTGTGTGTGTGTCTGTGTGCGTGTGTGTGTCTGTGTGCGTGTGTGTGTGTGCGTGTGTGTGTCTGTGTGTGTCTGTGTGCGTGTGTGTCTGTGTGTCTGTGTCTGTGTCTGTGTGTGTGTGTGTGTGTGTCTGTGTGTGTGTGTGTGTCTGTCTGTGTGTGTGTGTCTGTCTGTGTGTGTGTGTGTCCGGCACTGTCTGTCTGTGTGTGTGTCTGTGTGCGTGTCTGTGTGTCTGTGTGTGTGTCCGGCACTGTCTGTCTGTGTGTGTGTGTGTGTCTGTGTGTCTGTGTGTGTGTGTGTGTCTGTGTGCGTGTCTGTGTGTCTGTGTGTGTGTGTGTGTGTGTGTGTGTCTGTCTGTGTGTGTGTGTCTGTCTGTGTGTGTGTGTGTGTGTGTGTCCGGCACTGTCTGTCTGTGTGTGTGTGTCTGTGTGTCTGTGTGTGTGTGTGTGTGTGTCTGTGTGTGTGTGTGTGTGTCTGTCTGTGTGTGTGTCTGTCTGTGTGTGTGTGTGTGTGTGTGTGTCTGTCTGTGTGTGTGTGTGTGTGTGTGTGTGTGTCTGTGTGTGTGTGTGTGTGTGTGTGTGTGTCTGTCTGTGTGTGTGTGTGAGTCTTTGGTTTGATTCCGACCTGTTTTTCCTGTCAGAGCTGCAGAGGAGGGAGGAGGAGGAGAACAGGGCCATGGAGGAGGAGACGCTGCCTCTGGTGGAAGAGCTGAAGAAGGAGATCCAGAAACTGCAGGAGAGGAGACAGGAGGAGGAGGATGGGGGGGCAAGAGGATGAAGAGTGGGGAGTGTGAGGCAGTGATGAAGCAGAGAGACACTCAGGTAAGTCAGCCTCAAAAAGTACAAGAGAAGAAGAAATGCCGACGGGTTTTCACGAAGGAGCGTTCTGCTTTATGTTTTTACTTTTCTTTCAGGACCTTCGAGACTCTCCTCTTAGGTCCAACATGGCCGCCAGGAAGAAAACTCCCAGAACCATGGGGAGGAAGAGGAAGAGCTGCGAGCTGGAGGTAGGGCGGAGCCTATTTAAGCCTATCGCTGTGGTTGTGTGAATAATTAAGATTTTAACCCGTCACTGCATCCCGGGTTAAAATCACCACGTGTTAGACTTTTATCGTCTTCTGAAGCGCGGCCTCATCTCGCCTCACTGTGCCAGACTGGCAGGTTCTCGCCGCCAGCAGCCTTCTCAGCACGGAGGAGTCTAAGGGCGCCGGTATACTCAGTCTATCCGTTATACAGCAGGAAGCCGCCACAGTATTCTCCTGAACGACAGGTGCCGCCACCAGCATCACCTCGACAAGCTGACGCTCCGTTCTTCTTCTTTCCTTTCGTATAAATCACCAGAGGGTGGAGCCGCCTCCCAGAGTGTGTTTGTTTGTGTGTGTCTCAGGCGCTCTGACATGTGTGTGCTGTTGTGTTTCAGGTTTTGGTGCACAGTGAAAACAAGAGGAACAAACCGAGGGGAAACGCCCGTTGCGTTCAGGTGAGCCGTCCCAGCCGACAGGTAGATGAACTCACGCGTCCTCAGAGCCCTCACCTTAAACCTCCTTCTTCTTCTGTGGTGCAGGAGAGAGGATGCACTCTGCAGAAGATTGAAGAGGCGATCCACACCTCACCGTGCGTCCTGGGCAGCAAAGGTCAGCCACACCTCGACCACCCAGCGCCAGCAGGGGGCAGCGCTGAGCTGCCACCGTGTCTGATTTTATGTTACAACAGAAAGTTTAGCTGAAGTGTTTCTAACAGGCTCGTCAGGCCCTGCGGCTCCAGAGCGAACTCACCGTCCCGTCCTCTCTGCAGATAAAAACATAAGCTCGGTGGAGAAGGAGGCGGTAACCGTGGCAACCAAACCCCGGCGAGGCCGCAGGAAGCTTTACAATATGGACCCGTGGGCGCCGATGGTGGACTCGCCACACACGGTGAGACGGAGTCTGACTCTGAGGCGCGAAGCGGAGTCGGCTGTTTGTTTCTAAATATGAATGCGTCTTTGTTTGTCCCGTCAGACGCCCGGAGCAGCGGCGGAGGATCGGGAGAGCGACCACAGCATCATGAAGAGGAAGCTACGCTCTCAAACCTGCAGGAAGTGACATCATGATCGATCTTGTGCGGCGTTCTTCGTCTGTCATCAGTTTGTTGGTTTGTTTGTTTTTAATGTTTGGACCTTTAAAAAAACCAGAAACCCACCAGTTCACCTTTGTGAGGCTTTAAATTTAAGGTGGAATTGTTTAAGGTGGATCTCTGTGACTGCTGTGATGTAAATAAAGGTGAGCTGAATCATGTCCAGGTGAAGCTTCTTTCAGCCGCACTCACGTGAGGTCGTCGACATAAAGACAAAGTAAATGTCTCGGTGAGCGGTGTTCGGTCCGTCCCTGCAGCGGGCGGAGGCCGGGGCGCCTCCTCGGTACGTTTGTGCTCGAGCTCCGAGTCTGTCTGCAGTGCCTCAAAGGGATTCATGCTGTAAATAAAGTTTTACTGTAGCTTCCTCAGTGTGTGACTTCACTTCCTGTCTGGTGCTGAAATGTGGAGATGTCACATGAAGGTTCAGACTCCAGTGTTTGAGGGAGTACCTGAGGCGGCTGTAGCTCAGGAGACGGAGCCGAAGGTTGCTCCACTCTGTCCCTGGGCAACACGCTGACCTCTGAGTCGTTGCTGACGTGTTCACGCTGACGTGTCGGGGTGGGCGTGTCAGATAAAGTGGCTTCAGAGGTCTTACCTGAGCCACCTGGGGCTCCTTCAATGACATAACCTCTGCTGGCAGCGAGGACTCGAGGTGAGCCGCAGAATCAGGATGAAGCTGCTGATTCCTCAGCTCAAGCTCTGACACCAGCAGCTTCTCCTTGCGCTGGCTGACCTGCTGGGTGGAGGAGGGCGGAGCAAAGTTGTCCTCGCTGTTTATTTCAGGGTAAAGCTAACATGAGCTGGACGACCGCAGAGCTCCAGCTGATCCATGAAGAAAACGCAGGAGGCACAAACTGAGGCACAGCTTTTATTTTCCTGTAACACGTTACAAACATCAGCATCACTCAGACTGTGACATCACGCTCTCCACCAATCAGCAGCGTTTTCAGCCCCGCTGCTCACACGCTGACATCTACCAGTACCTGTCTCAGGTACAGGTAACCTGAGTTACACCTGAAGATGATTCTGGTCCATTCACACACTCTCTCACACATAATGAGGCAGCTCAGACAGGAAGCTGTGAGTTTCTTCAACATTAAAACAAAATCATTCGTTTTCATTTTCAGCAGACTAAAAAGATTTCACTTCCTGTGAAGTCATCGTTTGATTGACACCTGTCAGCCTGTTTAGCCGTCTGCTTGGTTTTGGTGTCGAGGAATCTGATTGGTAGGCTGCGTTCACGCTGCAGGCGAAAGCATCAAATCTGACTTTTGTGACCCTGTGCGACCATCTATCCGATCATGGTGTGACAGTGTGAACGGCACAAATCCGATATCTTCACATCCGATCTGGGTCACTCTCGTATGTGGTCCTGAGTCCGATACATATCTGATGTTTTAGAAAGCTGCTGTTTGATGGTCACGTCGCATTAAATCCGTCTTTTACGTCACTGACACGAGACAGACGCCAATTATCAGCGCCGGAGAAGACATGGCGAACGCTTCCTGACCATCCAGTGAAACTGCTGGGAAGACAATGTTGGAGAAACAACAGCAATAAGGATCATTGTTTGGCCAAATGTAAATAACCAAACAACTTTACAACTTAAAGGAAAATTGGGAAACGTAAGGTCGGAAACAAGTCTTTACATTAAGGCCATCAGTCACACATACTGTTTGGTCTGGGTGTAAACAGAGCGCGTTGTGTGTGGCGTCTTCTTTTGCGCACGCGGCCGCTCTGAGCGTTCACACTAGAGCGCGTTTGCTGTCGCATTTTATTTGTAGTGTGAACGAGCAGACAAAACAATCAGATTTGATCAAAAAATCTGAACTGAGCATCAAGACCTGCAGAGCGAACGCAGCCTGAGGGCTGTGAGGTAACACCTTCCTGTTGAAGGTGACGAAACCACCTGATTGGTCAGACAGGCTGAGGTGGAGGGGCTCGGGTTCCCTGATGACAGTTTTCAGAAGATTGCAGCAGCACCGAATCTGATCGATGGCGGCAATGGCGAATTCCAGTGACGGCGGAAAGAATGACCGCGCTGGCCAGCAGAGCGGCGCCGCTGAGGAGGAAAGTGGCTGTGTAACTTCCTGTAACATCAACCAGCCAGCCTGCAGAAAGAGAAGAAGAGTTTCAGGTGTGACATCATCAGCAGGCGATGTCAGAGTGATGTCATCAGATTTCAAATATCCAATGACGTTTGTGAGGACAATTAGACGCACGGTCTTTAAACACATATTTAAAATTTAGGTGGATTTAAAGTTTTTTCTCTTTTAAAGATGGATGAAGCAGGAGGGTGGAGCTGTTTCCCTCACCTCCAATGGGCGGGCTGACCAGGTAAGGTATGGCGTGGAGGAAGTAGACAACGCCCAGAGCTGAGGACAGATACGTAGTTCCGACCACATCAGACGTCACCACTGGGATCAGAGCCACGTAGGCGCCGTCGAAGTAGCCGTAGAGCATGGCAAAGGGCACGAGGAGCGGGAACGAACAAAGTAATGGCGTGAAGAGGCAGCAGAGACCCTCCATCCCCACCGAGAAGACGTAACAGGCCAGGCGGTGCGGCTTCAAACACCTGAGAGACAAACAGGACGCCCGACGGCATCAGCACTCAAATGTCAGCCATGTTTGTGTGAACTGTCCCTTTAAAAAGAAAGCGTTCTGCTGCAAAGTCGAGTGGGCGTCTCCATCGCTATCACCTGCAAACATCGTGACGCTCGCTGTGATGCTGAAGTCACGCCTGCACGAGCTCGAAGGCGCCGAGCAGCACCAATAAAGGTCAAAATCCTAAACACAGAGCGACACGCCGGACATGTGCTTTGAATTCTCGCAAACGTATCAAAGATGAAGTAAAATCGAACATGGAGGAGACGACTCGCAGCTTGGGTCAGGTAAATGGACTGATTCTCATTTAACACTTTTCTACTCACGCGGAGTACTCGGAGCGCTCAGTCACCCAATCACTGCCATTCACACAAGCACTTTCCAACTACATCCACACTCCGAGAGCAACCTGGGGTCAGTATCTTGCCCAAGAATACTTGGCATGCCAGGGATCGAACCACCGACCTTCTGATCGGTGACCTGCTCTACCTCCTGAGCTACAGGAACCCCAAAGCACCTAGTTGAAGCACCTTGGCAGCAGGTACAGCCTCAGGTCTTTAAGCGTCACGTGTGGACGGAGTTCATCCTCCACCAGGACAATGACCTGGTGGAGGATGAACCTTCACCCTAGTCTGAGGTCCAGAGCAGTGGAAGCAGGAAGCACCTGCGCTGAGCCCTGAGAGTCACAGGAAGGCTAATAAACGTGCTCGCGCTCGCTGTGGGTGTCGAATGTTCCCCTCTGGAACGAGGCTGTAACGTGTGGAACAGGCCAGCGTCAGTGTTCGTCCTCGCGCACACTCGCCTTACCTTCTGTCCGTCAGCCAACCGAAGGTGATGTTCCCCACGATGTCGATGACCCCCAGGATGGACATGAGGAAGGCGGCGTGCTGGTGGCTGATGCCGGCACTCAGGGCGTAGGGCACCAGGTAAACGAAGGGGAGGCTGCAGCCGCTGGCCAGAAACAGGAAGGACACGGCCAGACCCAGAAAGTCAGGCAGCAGCAGGAAGCGGTACTCCCCACAGGACAGGAGGCGCCACATCCTCCTCAGCCTGGGGCGGAGCTTTCAGGTGGAGGAGCGGAGCTAGGAGGTCCACAGAGTCTTTGGGAGGTTTCTCCACGTCCTGCTGTGAGATGTCACCTGCACCAGAACGCACAGGTGAGTCTGATTCTGATTGGCCCGCTGAGGGAACATGTGATTGATGAGAACACCTACCACACTGCTCCTCCTGCAGTGCTATTGGTCGGAGCAGCGCTCCACAGACGCACAGGTTTGCAACGAAGGCGCTGAGGACGAGCAGTGCCCCCCTCCACGAGTACAACTCGATGAGCATCTGCACCACCGGAGCCAGCACGAAGGTCCCGATCCCGCTGCCCGACATGGCGACACCGTACGCCAGCGCCTTCCTCCGCTGGAAGTAACAGCCCACCAGGGCGATGGCGGGGGTGTAGCACAGGGCGAAGCCCAGACCTGCGGACAGATTTTACGTGTCAGCATGATAAAGAGCACGCCGCTGTAAGATGGGGAGGACATGTCTGAGTCTGACCTGTCAGGATCCCGGCGCTGAAGTAAAGCATCTCCAGGCTGGTGGCGAAGGAGCTGAGCAGGAGGCCGCAGGAGGCCAGAAGGCCCCCCGCCACCACCGCCGCCCGGCCGGAGTAGCGGCTCCCCACCAGGCTGCCGACGGGAGCTGCACATACAGACACGCTCAGCCTCACGTGACCACAAGAACCACTCTGTGATGTCTGATTGGCGGTACTCACCACACAGCATGGTGCTGCAGTCCAGCAGGCTGTGGATCCAGGCGGTGGCGGCGTAGTCGGCCCCGAAGTGAGCCTGGAACTCCACGAAGAAGATGGAGACACACCTGCAGACACAAGAGAGGGTTAACACTGCCCCCACCTTTGACGCTCGGCTGCAAAGACACACCATGACTGTCCCTGAAAAAAGTTTCAGTGCACTACAGTACCATCATTCTTTGCTGCTGCTCAGATTTAAATAGAATTTCTTCATCTTTTGCAGTCAGCTGACTTTGTAAGTAAGTAAGTTTATTTATTAAGCGCTTTTCACAGACAGGCAGTCAAAGCGCTGCACACAAAGATTTGTAGCTCACTGATTGGATGTTTCTTGCCTAAATGCATCTTGGGAATTGTAGTTCTCCCCCAAAACAGACTGTACATAAAGATGGACGTAAAGTTAAGTCTTCAACGTGCATTCTCCCTAATGCTGATTAGAGTCAGAACAGGAAGTAGGGAGGGTTTAAGGCGGCACTTCCTGTAAACAAAGCATAGTCAGGGCAGGCGTGTGTGTGTGTTATGTAACGTGTGCCAGTCACACATAACTTCAGGATTAATGTGTCGTTGTATAACTGCAGTGAGAAACATGGGGGACGGGCCTGCTCTCTCGCCTCACTGTGAGGACATAACACACGCACAGACGCACAAACACACTCTTTCACAGCGAGCTGATGGAGGGGAGGCGGAGCTTTGAACACATGTTCATGTTCCACAACAAAGACTTTAACTGAACAAACACACACATCCACACATGTGCAATAACACTAAGTGCAATAATCTTTTCTGGCATCGTTGTATTTTTACTCAGTTGTATATAGCATTCGTATTCTATTTTTATCTTATTGTATATTTTTATTTTATTTTATTCTACTGTATATAGTATATTATTTTATTCTATTCTGTACAGCTGTGTACTGTATTTATTCTTATTGTATTCTAATTTTTGCCTCATAACTTTTGCACTGTCCACTTCCTGCTGTGACAAAACAAATTTCCCACGTGTGGGACTAATAAAGGTGATCTTATCTTATCTTATCTTATGTTTCTGAGAAGTTTTCCAGCTGCAGCAGCAGTCACGCCGGTCTCCGGTCGGAGCAGGAAATGTGGGTCAAAGGTCACAGGAGGAGGCCGCGTGTCTCTGTGTTTAACCCATTCAGCCCGGGGGCCAGGCCGCAGCAGGGCGGACCCGGCGCCTCCGGTAAACTTCCTGTTTGGAAGAAAGGAATAGCATAGACGATCCGGTCACTGCGGGCACCGAGGACTCCTCCGTCAGACGCGTCCACCCGGGAAGCACAGCTGAGTGTCACTAATTACTGGATGGAAGCAGGTTTCCTTTGGCTGACAGCAGTGTCAGGGCGTTTCTGAAATGTCAACCGCTCTGCCGTCCTCAGGGGGCGGAGTCTTTAACGACAACATCACAGATGCGGCTGGTGGTGCAGCGGTGCAGGTGTTTGGTGTAGGGGGTGTGGGGCTGTAAATCCCCCGAGCGCAGAGCGAGCAGCAGAGCTCCAGAGTCTTTGAGCTGCACGTGTCCTTCACATACAAAGACGCTCTCCTGCTGGAGAGCTCTGCTTTTAGCTTGGAACGACGTTCTGAGGGTAGAAGGTGAGCAAACACCGGCGAGGCTGTTCGGAGACGATCTCAGAGGGAAAACCGGTCACGCAGCTTACGCCTTACGAGGAAAAAGTAATCTGAGTACTAAGATTAACTGAACCTGAAACAAGCAGCCTGCATGCACTGTGGAGCCAATGCCAGCTCAGCCTCCCCCACCCATTAAAACCAGTTCACCCCGACACACAGCCCCATCTCCCAGTGAGACCAGCTACACGCACACACATAATTAGATGTTGACTGCTCTCAGATCAGTGTCACGTGCTGAGAAACGGTGTGTTTTTGAATCTGTGTGTTCTGGTTTCTGCCTGGTCTGACTGGTGCTCTGCAGGCCTGCGGTAAACATCCTTACATGCATGCTTACATAACATATTCTTAAATATTTTATTAATAATCTTAATCTGCAGAATAACGAGGAACTACAGTGTAAAATAGTGCACACCCCATGCCCCCCTGTAGACACACCCCTGTATGTGCTGAAAATACCTGTGAGGTGTTTTTCCTGTTATTATTCCCGGACCTGCAGAGTGTAATACTTCATCATAAACACGTAGCACTAGCTGGTGTGATGGTACTTATAGTGCTTTTTTACTCAGTCTGTTTTCACACACTTCATTCAAACGAGATGTCCCACCGATGACCCACTCTAACAAACAAGCCACAGGTGCCCAATATAATTATAAGTTACTTCTACTGAGCATGCTCCTAATGCAGGGCGTTCAGACTGATGGTGTGGATGTGATGGTGAATGAGGCGGAGCAGAAGTCGCATCTTTTTGTGCAGAAGGATGAATTCTGTAGACCTCGTCAGGCATGTTTGAGGCTCATACTCTTTAAAACTTTGGATGCTAAGTACCAGCAACAAACACCATCCACAAACCTGCAGCAGCTCTCTGTGCGCTCTCACTTCTGTGCAGAATTGTGAATCAGTGATTCTGAGAGGCGGTTGAACTCTGGCCCACACATCCTCTGGCTAAGTGCTGAACTCCACCCAGCTTCACGCTAGGGCTGGGCGATATGACCTAAAATCCATATCGCGGTATAACTTGAAGCGTGTGCGGTAACGATATATATCGCGATATATTCTTTTCTTCTGTATAACGTGTTTTCCACACTTAAAATCCTTTAATGTTCTCAAAAATCGAGAGTGTGCCTTATGTATGACTTCTGGTTGTGCTTACTGACCTCGAACCGATTTTGGCTGCAGAAATCTGTTAAAAATGTCTTGATGGATGTTTAGAGCATTACGGCTGCCGTAGGGAGGAGCTTCGCGGAGTAATCTGGGTCCAAAACTCCGTCAGCTTCACGTCCCAAAGTCAAACGAACACTGAGAGTTAAAAACGGTCTAAATTCTTTCATCTTTAATTAAATCATCAGCGTTGCTGCTTTACCAGGTGTAACAATTAAGTTTAACATCCATGAAAACAGGATTTATTAAATGTAACAGAGTTAGAAGTTAGCAGGAAGTTAGCTCACTAGTTTCCACCTAAACATGACATAGCATGTTCTGACTGAGAGATTTCTGAAGCTAATTAAAACGTACAGCTCTGCTGCCACTTCCAACATAAATGACGACAGAAAACTAAACAGCAGTGGGCCAAACTTCACGGGCCAAAGTTCAGTCAGGAGAACAACTGAGATCATTCATCCACAATACGAGGTTAGTTATTGATATACGGCAACAACATGGGAACAAAGCAGCTGCGAGAGAATTCAACATTAATGAATCAATGTTACGGAAGCGCAGTTTTTGGCTTTCCCCATATTTCAAAAGTGCTTCGCCTCTTTGCTGTGACTGTCACCCGCCATAATTTGCAGATGATAATGGTTTTAGCCGCTGCGACGCTTTCGACTAAAACAGGCGCAGCTTGATGACATCATCAACATGCGCTATCACGATATAGTCAAAATCTCTGTCGTTGGCCAAATTTATATCGTTTCTATCATATACTGTTTATATCGCCAACCCCTACTTCACGCCACCCAGCTTCAGGCCTCAGACGCTTTTTCACACGCAGCCACGTCACTAATTAATTAGGGATGGGTATCGTTTAGGTTTTGTCCGATACCAGTATCAAACCGGTACTTTTGAAACGGTGCCGGTGCTCAAACGGTGCTCGAACCGGTGCTTAAAGAATGGAGAACACAAACTTTGTCCAAAAACCTCTCATGTTCAGCTGTTTTTTGTAAAAATATAACAATGTTAGCCTTTTCTGCAGCTATGGGGCATATATGGTATCACTCTTGGCTGGAAGCAGTGCTTAATCAATGGAAAAAACACAAACTTTGTCCAAAAACCTCTCATGTTTAACTGTTTTCCACTTTTTCTTTGGTCATTTTAGCCTTTTTGGCCAGGGTGAAGGGAGCATCTGCCATCAAACAAGAGGACAGCCGCATGTAGCTATGATGATGTTTGCTAGTTCACCTTACATGCATTAATGTAATCACGTGGTTAGCCTACTCAACGTAAATTACACTCGAACAACATTAAGCTACTCACGCAGAGAAGAACGGCTGCTGCTGCATCATCATCCTCATCATTTCTGCTACACTGGCAGGGCTAGGGGCCAGGACTCTCCTCTTCGTGTTTTTGGGGGATGTTGCATAACAGGCAACCCACCCGCAGTAGATGCGCACGGTGTGAGGTCTCGCAGCAAGCTATCAAATACGGCGCATTTCTCGGCTTTTAACAAAATGCTATACGTCTCCAGGTGTTTCATCGGATTCGAGGTGTTACCTCCTTTGACAGTATCACAGTATCAGCTTAAAGCACTTGTTGCTGCTGAGTTTGCATCTTTTGCTGTGAAGTACAGCCAGACTTTGCCTTGGGCATTTTTAATCTGTAGCTCTGCTCTAAAAGAACGTACGTGCCTGGACCCGCCTACTATCCTCAGAAACGTAAAATGATTGGCTAGAATCCAAAGTGTATCACAGCTCAGGCGGAAAAAAAATAAATGTGTGCTGCTTTTCGGTCTGGTTACTACCGTTTATGTCAGAACCGGTGCCATGATACCGGGACCCATCCCTATAATTAACCTCAGTAATTGGCAGATGTTTCTCCAGCAGGTTTTTTTAAAAGTAGTACACAATGTTCCTTTTTTGTTGCATGTGTAACAAAGAGAAACATGCTGCTGTGTCACAGTGAGAAGACTGGTTTTAATTTTAGGGCAGATCTCTGGACCGTCTTCTGTTGAATGGTTAAAGGCTGTTTGGCAATCGCTCTAATTGGCCTGAAGTCCTCGTTACTGAGTCATGTCACAGGAATGTTGTCTGCATGTCTTTGATTCTTCTTTCACTGAAGATTTTGTCTCTGAAAATGTTTTGATCTCTTTAAACATGTCCACATACACGCTCAGGTGCCTCTTTAAAGGTGTATCAGGGCCATAATGAACCCAAAGTGACCTCAAAATGCAAAACAACAGAAGCGATTCTTGCCCGTCTCTTTTATGTTTGCACAAATCAGTAAACTCTGATATAACAGCCAGTCTAACAGACACCATCATCTGTAGCTACACTAACACGGCTGTGTGCAGTGTTGGTGTGGACGTCCACGATCCCTCACTCTGTGCACCAAGACTGTAAGGGTCCTCACACAGCTATAAAGACCAGTATATGGATGTGCGTGTGTGCGTTACCTGGTCACTGCACGTGTGCACACCGTCACCATGAAGCAGCATCCAACAATCACCCACCCCACCCGCCATCCGGCGGCGTCCCCCGGCTGTCCCGCTGCTTTCCAGCAGCCATCGCTGCAGCTTCACCACGGTGGCTGACCCTGGAGCTTCTGGTGCAAACCTGAAGCTGGTCAGCTGCTTCACAACAGCAAAACAAAGGTAAAAGTGTGGCTTGGACCGCAGGTGATCAGGTATCCAGGGGCACTCAGCCCTCCCCCAATGAGGGGTGGAGATCGGCCAGGTGAAGCTGGGTGGCAGAAGGACAGAAGAAGGAAAGGAAGACGCTCAGATTGTCTCCAGCAGATTAAAAGTCTCCTTCAACTTCCTCTGAGTCGAACCCAGTAGAGTCCCAGTGGAGTGACAGTGGAGTGACAGTGAAGTCCCGCCACCCTAATTCTGTCTGTGGGTCTAAAAGTTCCTGCGGTCAATGAGTGACACCCCCCACCCCCACCCCCCTCAATCATTAACCACACTGTGTGAACGCTGAGGCCCCCAGCCCGGACCTGATGACGGCAGAGTCAGCAAAGAGTACTGCTGCGAAGGGAGCGCTTAGTTCTCCACACCCTACCTCCCCCAGGGCCAGGGGTGGGTGGGGCTGACTGAAGGGAGGATGTCTCAGGTGTCGGGTGACGCAAACAAGCATTTCCAGTCAGACAGACCAGAGAGACCACAGTGTGTTCCACAGCAACCAGTGTGTGTCACACCCGAGGGGTGTGCTATGGACCAGGACCAGAACAAAGACTGGGACCAGAACAAAGACTGGGACCAGAACAAAGACTGGGATCAGGACCAGAACAAAGACTGGGACCACGTCCAAACTTTAAAGGAATATGTAGAGATCTGAGACAGACACGACCGTCTGCGGTGTTCTTTAATAGAGCATGAAGGTTGAATAAAACCAGTATTTTCACCATTTTTGTGACTAAACACATTGAAATGAAAACAATGGCCTGCTGGACTCTGTGTGGTTTTTTAAAGTCCTCCGATATTTCTGTCTGTCTCAAATTTCAGATTCTTTCTTTTTTCATGATAAATAAGATCAAACAAATTTAAAGGCTTTTATATTTAATATAAATTTAATATAAATATTTATTATAAATAATATAACTCTTCAAAAACCGGCAGATCTGAGACAGAAGGACCGAAATGTGTTTGATGAGAAACTGAATGTGTCGTGATAATCAAATGTACAAAGTTCATTAATTCACTGGTTTCCACACAAATAACATTTCAGACAACAGCAAATGTTCTGGTGCGTTTAGTGTTATCACTCTGAGACAGATGGCCAGCAGGTGGAGCCCTCCACCAATTAGCACGCTGAGTGTGATAATAATAATAATAATGGATACTTTATTGATCCCCATGGGGAAATTACTTGTTTTTCTCTGCATTTGACCCATTCACCCAGTGAAGCAGTGGGCAGCCCACTAAGCAGGCGCCCGGGGAGCAGTGTGTAGGGACGGTACCTTGCTCAGGGTACCTCAGGTAGCCGTTAAGTGGATTCGAACCGCCGACCTTCCGATCATGGGTCGACCACTTTACCTACTGAGCTATCCCTGCCCCTGTGAAACACCTGGTGCATGAGCCATGTGTGCACCATCAGACCAGCGTCACCAAGCTTGGAGTGAAAGTTGACACAGCTGATGCAGGTAATGATGCAGGTTATGTCGGTGTGATCAGGCCTCACTGTGACGCTTACAGATGGCCCAGGATGCTGCTGTTCGCCTGCTGACAGGGACAAACACTTGTTGCTTGTTTATCTTAGAGTTCATTTAAAAATGTTATGTTTGCTTTCAAAGATTCGAATGGCCGAGCTCCTACGTACCTGGCAGGCCTTCTGCACCTGCGCACTCCACAGAGGTGTATGTTACTGTGTTTTACTGGAAAGAACTTTAGCTTCGATTTTATAAATAAAGTTGGATTGGATGTGTGCAAACTGCAAAGACAGCTCACATCTGGATCCGTGTGCATTTGTACACGTGTGACTGCACTTTACTGCAAACTGTGTACGCACAATAGGAACGTGTTTTCCTGGATAACGTCAGTGTCTGCTGCTCTTTCTGTTTCTCAGTCAGAGCTGTAAAGAAAGAAAGAGGACCGGCCTCCACCTTCGCTGGAGGATGTGAGCCGGGGTGTTGTGATCCGGCTTTCCAGGTTTAGATCAGTGATTCAGTCAGCGCACGATAAAAAACACGAGTTAGAAAAACTGGGCCAAGTTCAAAACGTGACATTTCCACAGACACGTGCCGGCTGTGTCTGATTACGACTGCAGCGACTCGGCCCTTTGGACGCCTTACTGCTGGTCGTGTGGCTCCTCCTCAGTTAATGTTAACAGTGTCAGGCCTCCTGCTGTGAAAGAGCCAGAGCCATCATCGCTATCCTTTTACTTTGTCATGCTGTTTGGACCGTGCACAACCACATTTCAGTGACTGATTAACAACGCGTGGGCTGCGGGGTTGTGCAGTGTCGTGTATGCAGACATATTATTGGAGCAGTTTGAGCCCTTTGACTGTTAGTTGTGTATAAATGTGTGTGTCCAAAAGCTGCTGCATCCTGTTTGAGTGAGGTTAAAGGTCAAAGGGTTTAAGGACAGGTTCGTCCCACCAGTGCAAACGTTCCCGGTGTCTCCGGTGAATGACCAGACATGACCGTGGTTTTGTCCTGATCCGGTTTCTTTTGTGACTCCACTGATAAAATGAAGGGACTCCTGAGAAGGATGAACAAAAGTCCGCTGGTCTGAGATCAGCTGATTCATCACAATGTGATGATTCGTGTCTGTGGCAGGTTCACCCAGCGCGGCGATGCTACCCTGCAGCGGCCATGAATGCTGTTGCTAATAAAATCACACCTGGATGGATGGAGGGGTTAATTGGCTGGTTTACCTTAAAGTTCACGTTATCCAGGTGACTGTAACAAGCAAAGGTAAGTAACTAATGATGCGTGACAGGAGAGTGAGCCAGCTAGCATGTACCTGCTCACAGTAGCTTTTATCTCGAGGGTTAACTGTTCTCAGTCTAGTCTGAGTAACGAGCACCAAACTGTCCTCCATGTCCTCCTGCAGCACATCCACCCGCACACTTTACACGACTTTAATGTCTTACTGGCAGCTCTGACCTTTGAACTTTGTTCAGACAATACAGATTATGATTTTACAGCTTCACAGAAGGAAGAAGATGTTTTTCCTGTGAAATAATTTGATCGTGTTTGTTTTCTGGTGTTTCCACAATTCAGACTATGAAAACAGAGAAAAGCAGCAGAAACTCAGGATCTGAATCAAATCTGAAGACCTGAAGATGAGACACGTCGTAGTTTTACTGGGTGAGTTTTCTGCTCTGCACTGATGATAAACCTGTTAAAAACAATCTTTAGATTTTCCACATGCATGCCTGATAATGATGACGGTGTTTAAAAACTATTTTCATCGTTACAAACATAAACTTACCTTTGTGGTGTTACGGGGACCGGCTCATAAGGACTCACTGAGGACAGGGAGACTCGTCAGGTCCCCACAATGCAAACATCAAACTTTCCTCGAGGTTTTGGGATTATTCAGAAATGTCATAAACTTTTATCTGTAATTGTTTGAAGATCTGAGTTTTTTAACTTTGCATTTGAATAATAAGGGAATAAAATGATTAAATTTAGTAACGTAATGATATGAACCGTTACAAATTATTTAACTTAAAAATCTTAATTAACGTTAAACTTAAGCTGGAAGTCTAAATCTGTGTGTGTCCAGCTGTTTTGTGGGTGTGTGACGGCGTTAAGTTCGGTCAGCTGTGCAGCAGTAACCCGAGCAACAGCCGGAGGACGTCGGACAGATGGGGACAGGGACAGTACGGAGCCGGACGGTACTCAGAGATCACGTTTTTGTTGTAAGGCTGGTGTGGACGATGTGGCACAGCTGCTCACAGCTGGATGTCTGCTGGTTACAGGGGGACCAGACTCCACCAAGGGCTGGACATCAAGTGCAGCGACGGCGCCGCTGTCTACGCTCCGTTTGACGTGACTCTTAACGGGAAACTGACCGTCTACACCGACCCCAGTAAGGCAGCCATCAACGAGGGCATCAACCTGTCAGGACAGGGTGGGTCATCACGCGCAGCCAGCACTAACAGAGTTACTGATCCTGGTACTGATTCACTGATCGAGGCGTTGCGTTTGCGTCCTGCAGGTCTTTGTTTCAAGCTGTTCTACGTGAGGCCGGACCGAACCTCAGGAACGGTGAGGAAGGGGCAGAGGATCGGCACCATGCAGCCCATGCAGAGCGTTTATCCGGGAATCACCTCACACGTCCACGTCCAGATGTGCGACAGGAGCGACCCCACACCATACTTCTGATCTCCTCACCGAGGACCTGATCCAACAAACCAGGACGTCGCAGCTTTTTTCTGCTTCCCTGTCTTTGCTTTTTTATTGAGTGAAAGAAAAACGAGTGCTGCTGTGTTTTTAAACTGAGAATACGAACAAGTTGACACGTTTGATCAGAATCACATAATAAACTGAACAATAAAGTAAATAAAATTTCACTTTACTTTGTGTTGTATAATAATAAACAGAGCAACTGGGGTCAGAGACAATCATCAGTGTCCAACGTTCTCAACTAAAATTGTATTGAAGATTAAAGTTTGTATTATTGAGACTGTGCAGCTGTCAGTAGCCTGATATTGTAAAACCTGGTGCATGACTCCACCCACCAAACGCCCTGCCGGTAGAACTGCACGACGAATTACAGGCCAAAGCCGTGAAAACAGTCAAGAGAAAAATGTCGTAAAATCTCTGTGCTTTATATCCAAGTTCTTATTATTCATCCTGACTCTTCAATAAAGAGCTGAGGGAGCAGCTGGTCCACCACAGGTCTGTCGCACGGCGCCCTCTGCTGGCCGGTCGCTGCCATTACAACCGACTTCAGCTTCTCAGACACATGAAGGAAGAGCTCAGCTGTAAAGACATCTTATCTTAATGACCTTGTAGTACCATATCACCCTATTAGAGCACTTCGCTCTCGCTCTGCAGGCCTACTTGTTGTTCCTAGAGTATTTAGAAGTAGAATGGGAGGCAGAGCCTTCAGTTTTCAGGCCCCTCTTCTGTGGATGGATCCACAGCCGTGCATCATTATAGCCCCGTGTCCATTAGTACCTACTCTGCTCGACTCAGAGAATCCAGTGACATCATTAGTATGCAACACGACAACAACAAAGGTGGACGTTGAGGCGATGATGTACCTGCTGCTCAGTCTGTGGCTTTTCGTCTCACTCGGGGACCACAGTTTTGTCTTTAGAGACATTTCCCTCGTTGTCGGGTTCCAAATATGGCAGTTTTCATTTTCGTGAATGAGAAGCTCTCACAACTCATCGAGTGACGCCACTGACCAGCCAATCGGTGGCATGCAGTCTGACGACATCACATTTTGGTACCTGCTCGGATCACTTGGAACCCGGCCGAGCAGGTACTAAAATAGTAGCAGATACTGTGACCTAATGGGAAACTGAAAACTGTGGCAAACCGTGCCGAATCGATTCGAGTAGGTACTAATGGAAGGGGCGTATGTATTCCTTTGACCTGCCTCCTGCCCTCCTCCCCTCGCCTTCACAGATGGCTGCCCCACCCTGATCAGCTCTGGGGGTCGTGTGATTGTTGGGTTTTCTCCTGTAGAGTTTATCTTGCAGTACAACGCCCCTCCAGGTGACTGTTGTTGTCATTTGGTGCTTTATGATAAACATGAATCTGCCAGTTCTCCCTGTGCTGACTCAGTCTGCAGTTCTGCTTCTTGAAGTTTCTGTGCTTTTGTCTTCAGTTTGTTGTCCTGATTGTCCAGCCTTACTGTGTCCCTGACATTTTGCTTGATTTTGTGTGTGCAAGCTTCAAACTGCTGCAGTGCCTTTTTATTTCCTGCGTTATGCTTTTCTGCCCCCACCTTAAAGCAAAACTGTGCATATTTCAGAGTGGCCTTTTATTGTGGGCAGTCTAAGGCACACCTGTGCAATATTCATGCTGTCTAATCAGCACCTTGACACACCTGTGAGGAGGGATGGATGATCTTGGTAAAGGAAAAGTTCTCACTAACACAGATTTATAAAGATTTGAGATTCATGGGTCTTTTGTGTATCTACAGGGTGGGCCATTTCTATGGATACAGCGTAATAACAGGGGAATGGTTGGTGATATTAAAGTCCTGTTTGTGGCACATTAGTATATGTGAGGGGGCAAACTCCTCAAGGTGGGCGGTGACCATGGTGGCCATTTAGAAGTCGGCCATCTTGGATACAACTTTTGTTTTTCAATAGGAAGAGGACCATGTGACACATCACACTTATTGGTAATGTCACAAGAAAAACAATGGTGTGCTTGGTTTCAACGTAACTTTATTCTTTCATGAGTTATTTACAAGTTTCTCTTTGTTCACAGCCATCGACATGTCGAAGAGGTTAACACGTGAGGAGCGGATCGAAATCGTTAACAGCGTGTTGGGACTCTGGGATGGATTCTGGGTCATGGTGGGAAGATGTTCTGACACACTACCCAGAGCTTTCCCGAGCGGCACATATTGATTATTTTAGGACAAAGAAATCAGAAAAATATAATGCACTTAAATGATTATGACAGTGATTTGGTTCAACGGTTGAATAAGGCATCTGCACTCAGGGAGCATCTTGATTCGAGATATTTTCTTGGCTCACAGAAAGGACTCAGACTCCTATTGCCTCATCATCGACCTCGATCTGCCAGTGTTAGCATCTAAATGTACATTACACATGTTATTGTTAATAAGAACCCAGCAAACACTGAACAAAGTAAGAGAAACTGAAACCATCACATCAGGAATCCACCCCCAGCAACATTTTTTTAAAAGACTGCTCGTGCTAAGTGTGTTACTCATACCCAGCGTCCCCGTAACGATAACAGCAGTTTTAATAAGAGAAAACAAGTATTTAATTATGACGTATTAGAGTAAATATAAGATTCCCTCAGTAACACCTGTTATAATGCGATTACACTGAATTATCCATAAAAGCCCTTAATAATGATTTCATGCTATGTGAGTCATAAAGCTGTGATAAAGACCAAGAACAGTATAACAGTTCACTATCATTCTAGAAAAAATAACATATGCAGCAGCGAGATAAACTCAGACTAATGACAGTCCACATTTCTTTTTCATTACGTGGCCAGCAGGGTACATGTTTGGGGTTTTCTTCTGTAAGTGATGCCCTGTGAGAACAAGACAATCAGCAGGCTGAAAGGAGCTGCTGAGGTTAGGCCACCGGGTACCACAGAGGACCTTCTGAGGTCTGGTAGAGTTCAGGGACGGGAGGAAGCTGCTGTTACCGGGCAGACCGGCAGCATGGTAGGCAGGGTTTATCTCGCTGGTGCGTGAAATAATATCCCAGCACCAAAGATGTAAATGTTTGCTTGATAGATTGAAGCTAAAGGTATTTTTCGAAAGCATGATACTAAATGTTTCTAACTCTGTGTGACTGACTCTGCTGCTCTAATTAAACTGGGCGTAGGGCAGCAGAGTTGGTTTTGTAATAGACATAGAGGCCTGGGTACACAGCCTCTGTGAAGGTGGTGCGGAAGGTGTAGAAGTGACTCAGTGTGTTATGGGAGACTTTGTAGAAAGACAGAGTGCCAGCAGGCCAGTCAAGAAACACTCCGACTTTGCTGCAGCCGGTACTGGGAAGACTTTCGCTCCACACTTTACCATTATGCCAAGCACTGAGCTCTTGCTCGTACACACCAAAATACCAGGATTTGGTATTAGAACCGAGCCCTGCATCGTCACTCTTCCCCTTCCTTACAATGCTTTGGTACGTAACAGCTACACCAACGTTATTACTAGAACCAGCACTCCACTCCACTTCCCAGTAATGGCGCCCAGTCAGCCCCTCCCTGCACAAAACCTGAGTCTTTGTATCAAACCTCTCAGGACAATCAGAATACGTCTGCCATGCTCCACACGTTGCCTTCTTGTTGCCCTCAGACAGAATCAGGTAGTTGTTTGCAGTGTTTGGGTCCAAGGTGAGATCACAGGCGTCTGAATGATAGAAAAAGAGTCACTTACTAATCATTATTATCCACTTTAGAACACCAGACTCACATACAATAATGTCAGCATGCACATTAAGCCTTTAATAATTCTAATCAGCATGCTAATTAGGAGTAAAAATTATATTATTGCTGAAAGATGACACAAGTGGATTAAAGTGGACTTACACCAGATTAGATTTTGTCTGTCTTTAATGTTTTCCACATCAGGGACAGCAGGCTTTGAAAACTCTTCAGTGACCCGACGGCCCTTCCTGTAGTGGTAGATGGTTGCTCCTTTGTATTTCTTATTTGTTTCTGATGCCACAATGAAGCTAAACCTGCTGCTGCTCTTCAGGCCTTTGGCGATGCTGTAGAACTCTTCAGCTTTCTGTCTCAGGTTGGCTACCACTTCAGCTGAGAAGAACCAGTGGTCTTTTGTTGGTGGAGTGAAACTGTCATGACAACGCAAGTATTTGTACATCTGGTCCAGGTAGGGGTCGTCGGTTTCCACAGAGGTGAAAACAAAGCTCAGGACATCGTCTACATCCTGAGCAAGAACCGCTCTGTCGAACTCAGACTCATCTTTAGTGATTTTTATCCCCTTCATTGCTTCCACACAGGACCTGATGACGTTGATTTCTCTCTCTGTATTATCTAACCACTTGTCTAAGTTCTCCAGACTGAATGGTGACTTCTCCTGGTCGTCTAAGAGTTTCTCCAGTGAACTGTCTTCTTTACCCTCAAGAATGGAAGGGAATGTCTCCATCATAGCCTGTCTCAGCTTTTTTCCACTATCTTCACAGAGGTTTTGGAAACGCTTCAACTTTATGTGAATCTGTGGAAAACTCTGAACCACGTCTTCATCCAGAGAGTCATTGCATCTCATTTCCATTTCTTTGATGATTTCTAGCGCATTCTCAGCTTTCCTCAGTAACCCGACACAAATCTCTCCCTTCATCTCTTCAGCGGTTGGGTCCAGTTTCTTCAGCGGTGTCAGCCACACTTTGACAGGAACTGTTTTCTCTCCATTTCCTCCAAGGAGCTTTGGAAGCTGTGAGTAGGTCTTCACTGCATCTTCAAATGTTGAAGGGTTGCTGTCGAGAATGAAGTCTCCATAGAATTTGCAGGAGAATTTATCAGTCACAGCTTTTTCTTCTTTACTCTGCTTGACGTCAACCTTTGCCTCAGAACTATATACAATGATCATCTTAACTGCTGCCTGCATGTGGACCTTCGTCTCCTGAACACTGCTGCTCTCCAGCTTCTCGCTGTCAAACACAAAGAAAGCATGTGCCCCATATTGGATGCCTGTGACTACATGTGTTGCGTTGCTTTTCTTAATGACGTCTTGTATTTGTGTGGTTTTTGCTTCAAGGTGAGTCATTGCCAGCCGTTCAAATGCAGTCGTAGCTTTGAACTGAAGCGTCACTCTGCTCTGGTTCTTGAACTTCTTGTTGTCATTCAGAAAGCTGCAGGACCCACTCTTTTCAGTCAGTCCACACAACCAACTAGTTTTAGAATATGTATCTACATCCAGCAGAGAAGACTTGGTCTCAATGGAGTCTGATGTAGTAATTTCGTAGGTGGTGCTGGCCTGATTCTGCCTAGTGCTGTACCTTTTAATTGTTTCTCTGTCCCACAGAGTGAAATCTACAGAAAACACAAAAAGGAAATGTTTTTGTGAAAAAATTATTAACATTTCTGTTGATTCAGTAGGAATAAAGCCGATGAGCCACACCATGCAGATATGGGAAAGAGTTTTTGGAGGTAGGGTAAGGAGTGAAGTGATGCTCAGTGAGCAGCGTTGTGACTTCATGCTGAAAAAGAGCTACAGATGGCCTGTGGCATTGACTTCCCAAGTCATGCACCAGTACCCCGGAAAGACTCCTCCTGCACCAGCTCTGACCCATCAGACCACATCAGGATCACCTTCAGTTTGCATACCAGCCCCGACTCTGCGCTGAGGCCACCATCATCTACCTGCTCAATCGTGCCTACACCCATCTGGAGCACTGTGATGGTCGTGTTTGACGTTTTCCAGTGCTTTCAACAGTATCAGGCCGACCCTCCTGGGTGATCAGCTAACAGTGATGCAGGTGGATGCTGCTCTGGTGTCCTGGATTGTTGTTACCTGTTGTTACAGGAAGATCACAATATGTGCGTCTTCCACATAGCGTGTTTGACAAGGTGATCGGCACCACAGGGGACCGTCCTCTCCCCCTCCACCCTCTACACCACAGACTTCAGCCACTGCACACAGACCTCCATCATCAGTAGGGTTTCTGATGACTCTGCGGTGGTTGGATGCATCAGTGAGGGTGATGAGTCAGAGTCCTCATCACCCCCATTAGGGTCTGAGAGGTGAATGTTGTCCAAGATAAAGACAATACTGGACAATACCTCCCACCCACACCATGACATGCTGGGCAATCACAGGAGCATGCTCAGTAAGAAGCCGAGATTACCCATAATGCACCACAGAACGACCATTATCCTTGATCAATGGTCTTTGATCAGTGATCTTTGATTAGAGGTTGTTGATCAATGATCCTGACAATTTGCATATTAATGATGAAGGAGCTGACCTTCCAGCCCATTGTTCCTTCAGTGGTTTCAGTCATTATACAAATGTCCTGTTTATAAGGTTGAAACCTGCAGTCAGCTGAGACTGAAGACGTCACCTGATGATGATGATACGTTTCTCCCACTGAAAATATCCAGATGAACAGAATCAAGCTTTTGGGTCATCTCACAGTTCTTGTGTTTAGTGCTGACAGCTTCTGACAAGAAATTCTCCTTTCTGCTGTTCAATACTGAAGAAATGTAAACTTTTTAAAATGATGCCAAACTGCAAAACTCTTAGCTGTGTCTCTAATCAAACCTCTGTCACCTCAGCAGCATCAGGTAATGCTCACCTGCTGATTCATGGTTTTCTTAGTTTTTGTTCTACTGCAGAATATTTTCAAGGTTATCTGCTATAAAAAGTGAGGACAAGAGAATCTCCTTCATGTTTTTCTGTGTTTTATCCTCAGTTACTTTGACACAGAGGCCTCTGCTGTGATGCTCACACCTCTGATGAAGTCTCACAGTGTCAGCTTTGGTTTATACGTATCCACATTTTTATATCTATGTGATATTTCTGTCTGAGTCAAAACCAAATCAACTCACGACTCTGTGAATCTGACTCGAATCAGTTATAGAAATCGAAATCGATAGCCAGCCCTGTGATAGGGTGCCAAGAAAGGAACTGCAGTACCAATGGAAGCTTGTATGGAGTTTTTAAAAGCCTGGTTTAAAAACAGGTTTAGATGTGATGTTATAATCCAGGGGTGGGGAACTCCAGGCCTCGAGGGCCGGTGTCCTGCAGGTTTTAGATCTCACCCTGGGTCAACACACATGAATCACATGATTCGTTCATTACCAGGCCTCTGGAGAACTTAAAGACATGTTGAGGAAGTCGTTTAGCCGTTTAAATCAGCTGTGTTGGATGAAAGACACATCTAAACCCTGCAGGACACCGGCCCTCGACACTGACAAAAGTTTTGTTTTTTAACTGTTTACTGAAGCATATTCCAATTATAGCTTTAAAATGGACATGGGCATAATGTGCAGACACTCAGTTTTACAGCACAGTACTGCAGCTTTCATTCCAGGATATCCACATTCAAACTGTCCTGGTGTGATGGTCTGGAGTCTGTGGACTCCGTGTTCCTGTTTACATTTATTAATATTCTGTGGTTTTGTTTATTTTGGGCTGTTTGTAATTATTCTTAGTGTTTTGTGTCCTCTGTGCTCTCCTGTTCCATGTTTCGTGTTCCTATGTTCTGTCTCCCCAGTCTGTGTTAAGTTTGCGTGTTTAGAGTTTTGTTGGTGTGTTTCCTGTTTTATTTTGAAGGTCCGTTTCTCTTGTCAGTGTTTGTAGTTTTGCTTCCCCTTGTCTCGTTATGTCCAATTAATCCCAGTCGTGCCTCCCTCCTGTCTTCCCTGATTGCCCTGTGTGTATTTCAACCCTGTGTTTTCTCGTGTGCTCTGCAGGTTTGTTTGTGTATTTCCCTGAGTCTCCCTGCATCTCCTTTTCAGGGCTGTTGCTGTTAGTTTACTTCAGTTTAGGTTATCCTCGGGTTCTGTTTCATGCCTACTGCGTTTCTATTTATTTCACCTCCCTAATAAAACTCACTTGCATCTGAAAGCTGCCTGCATCTTGGGTCCTTCATTAAATTCCTCACAGCTTGCCCTGCTAGTCGGGACAGCTGGTGCCAGGTGTACTTGTGGACATCTTTAAGTTTGAACATATCTCAGGGTCTTGCTCTCAAGTGAGGGGAAAGGTGAGCGGGAAATGGACAGACGGATTGGTGCTGCGGCTGGAGTGATAAGGATGCTACACTGTCAGTGGTCCGAGAGAGCTGAGCGTTAAAGCGAAACTGACGATTTACCAGGTGATTCACATCCTTCCCCTCACCTACAATCAGGACTTTTGGGTAGTGACTGAAAGAACAAGATCGTGATTACAAGTTTAGAAGATATGCTTTCTGCCAAGGGTGGCTGGTCATTCGAGTAGAGCCGCTGCTCCTCCACATTGAAAGGAGACAGTCGAGGTACTTCGGGCATCTGCCCAGGATGCCTCCTGGGTGAGGTGTTCTGGGCATTTTTCTGGCCATGTCATATTTTGTTCAATTTAATTTGATTTATGTAGCACTAAATTCTAAATTCATGTATGTATTATTGTAGGGTCTCCCTTACACATAAAGCGCCTTCAGGCGACTGTTGGTGTGATTTGGACTGTATGATTAAAGCTGAGTTGAAATTGAATTGAATTGAATTGAATGTGTGTACTGTCCGGTGTTGGTCAAGTTACTTGAAAAAAGTAATTAGTTACTAATTACCGATTACTTCTCCAAGAGAGTAATCCCATTACTTTACTGATTACCTTTTTCAAAAGTAATTAGTTACTTAGTTACTTTTTGTTTTTTGTTTTGCCTGTCCCGTTTGGTTCTTTTGCATCAGAATTGTTGTCTAAAGGCAAAGAAAGATGCCCGACGGATTTACTTTACCAAATGGACCATCCCAGCCTTGCCTTAATGGTCTATTTGATTCACCTTTTATTGTTTATTTTATTTCTTTTTTTATTTTCACTTGCTAGATACGGGACAGACTTGAATGAGGAAAAGAAAAGGGAGAAAGGAAGACGGGGAAAAACAGCGGGGAAGAGGGACGGGGATAAAGGGCAAAAAAACAAAAACCAACTAAATAAGCAGACAAAAAATGCATCTATCGATCACCTGGATCACCTGTTGAGAACGAAAAAAGAAAACTAGCAGAAGAAGACTACAGCAATAGAATAAACAACATCACAATGATATATGGGAATATGACAGTAAATACTAAATATTAAACATTATTGTGCAGCACGTGAGATCGACAGAACACAGTGTGCTTTGAGGTAGGAGCCAAAAAGGGTGTAGTTTGTGGGTGTGATCACCCGTGTGTACACCTGTGAGCATGGACGCGCTTGTTTTTTGTTTTTTTAAAAGGTTCCTTCATGTAATGATCTGCTAGAGGGTGTGGGGGGGCCACAGCCCCGTCCTCCAGGGCGTGAAGCAGGTGTGGAGGAGATCAAAACTCCAGACATCCAGAGGCCCCCAGAACACAAGAGACCAAGGAAGACCAACAGAGGGGCAGCCGCGCCACTGTCCCGGAAAGAGCTGAGGAGAGTCCCAGATGAGGGCTCACTCAGCAGCCGCGGAGCAGAAGCCAGGGGGGTTGCAGTGACGCGCCCGTGAGCTCCGCAGGCAGCCAGCCTGCCTGAGTGACTGAGCCCCAGGCCGAGAGGCCGGGGGCACCCCACCTCCAAAGGGGCCCGAGCGAGCCCCAGGCTCCAGGCCCCGATAAGCAGCCACCAAGGAGTGAGCCGGCGTGTACCTGGACGCCCATCCCCGGACACAAAGAACCACCAACGCACCGATGTCTGAGGGCATCTGCCACCGGCAGGGGGAGTGGTGGTGGGGGGATATAGGCCTCCAAAACTTGGAGGGCCTGAGATGTCCCCAGAGAGGTGGCGTCTGATACCCAACCTGACATATAGACACAGACATACAGGCACACACAGACACAAACATCCATTCCCACCCTCATGCTCTCATATGCACTCACTCCACACTCAACCAACGTGGAGACAGACATAAAGAGACGCTGTACACACGATCACACTCCCCAAGCGTACTCTACAAACCGGGTCTAGGTACCCTTGCCCCTGGAGGGGGGAACTGCACCCAGACCCAGGTGGTGTTACCCTTTTCCCTGCGGTGGGGAGAGGCAGACCGCCCCGACTCCGCAGCAGCAGGGAGGCCCCACACTCCAGACCGCAGTCGGACGGCCAACTCCTCCTACTAGCCCCCCCGCTCCAGCAGGTCGCAGAGAACGGGGGTGGGAGAAGACTCCAAACCTCCCTCCACCCGCTCATTGTAGTGTTGATGCATGTGTGTTCTAAGGTGCAATTAAAACCCAGGAGGGCATGGAGCTACCTGCCAGAGAGCAGCAGGTAAGCGCATGGTCCCTCCTGCTGGCCCTCAATGTCTACGTGTATTTAACATTGAGAGGTGGGCAACAACGTCAGGGGTGAGGTGTACACCCTGATGGTCTTTTGGAGTCCGTTTAGCGTGCCCACCCCCAAGATCCTATATGTATGTGTTATGAGAGTGTGAGTAATGTGAATGTCTAAGTTGTGGGATAAAATTGAGGCAGAGGCAGCCAGAAGGGGACAGAGGGGGGGTAGCCTCCTCTGCACCCTGGTGACATACCCCTACTCCAAGGCCCTGCATGTGTGGGTGGTTGTGGTGGAGCGGGAAGAGGGAGGCAGCTGGAGATGGGGAGGGAAGGAAGGGAGGGGCAAGTGACCCCTCCCTGGGGCCAGCTCCCCCGCTGACCCCAGTAGGCACTCCCACACTCCGCGACCCGCCAGGGAAAGGGGCCCAGGCCCATCCAGACCGGGGCCCAGTGCAGCAGCGCCTCCCGGCCCCACAGAGCCCGGGACAGTCCACCCAACCCCACCACAGAGAAAACTGCACCCACCCCACCATCCACTCATCTTCCAGACTACATAAGACAATAAACACCCAGGCTGAGATCTTCCTCCACCTCTCCTGTATCTCCCCCTCCTGCAGAGGGAGCTCCTGAGGAGAGGAAAGCTCCTGCAAGATGTGACAATCTCCCCCACCGGTCCAAGAACCCCCCAGGTGGCTCGATGCACTGGCGGCACCCTGCTCCAGGGCCAGGGCCCCAGCCCAGAGACGGAGCGCCCCCAGAACCTCACGCCCATCCCGGACCCACCCAGGGGCAGCCAGGCTACCAGGTCAGTAACCCATGTCCGTCAGCACAGACCCTCCCCTAGCCCCGCTGCACGCAGCCGCGAGGAAACAGTCACCTGAGAGCCAACAGAGCCCTTAATAGGCCATGACCGCTACCCCGGGTTGAGCCCCCCAAGGAAGATGCTCATGGGGAACCCCCTGACGCCCCAAGCCTGTCCCTACCCCCACACCAATCACAACAGTGAAGGCGGGACCAAACTATGACCCCCCACCCCCACTAGGTGATGGAGCTGATCAAAGGAGCCCAGAGCAATTGATCTGATGTGGTGGCAGAGGCTGTATCAAGACTAATGTAATCTAATAGATAATTTCTATATTGGTTAGAATTAAGATTATTTTTATTTTTCCAGTTCATGAGGACTGTTTTCTTGGCTATGCATAGTGCAGTGAAAACCATATGGGCGATATTCTTTTCTGTAGTGACATTATCTAAGCTGCCCAACAAACACACTAAGGGGGAAGTTGGAATGTTACATTTCAGACACTTCGATAAGTCTTCACATATCTCGCGCCAAAACTTCTGAACTGGTGGACAGAACCAAAGAGCGTGGATATAATTGTCCGGTGAATTGGTTTGGCAGTGTGAGCAGTTGTTGGTAGACGTAAAGCCCATCTTGAACATCCGATGACCTGTATAGTGCACTCTATGTAATATTTTGTATTGAATTAATTGAAGACTGGGATTTCTAATTAGATGAAAGGTTTTTAAGCAAATCTGAGACCAGAAGTTTAGGTCTAAGTTAACTGATAAATCTGCTTCCCATTTTGCAATAGGAAGTGATATTGATTCGTCTGTTTTAGAAAGCATTCTGTATATTTTGGATAGTAATTTGGGGGGTTTAAGAGTAAGAAATTGAACCACACTTGGTCGTGTTTGTAGTTCAACTTGACCCGGTTTAAATTTCTTTTTTACTATGGATTTAATTTTTTGATATTCTAAAAATCTTTTCTTGTTGATCCCATATTGTGTAACTAGTCCGTCAAATGAAATAAATTCTGTTCCTTCTAGTATATGTTCTAAATATTTGATTCCTTTACCACTCCAATCTGAAAAGTTTATCATATTATTGTTTTGTAATATGTCAGGGTTGTTCCAGATAGATGTACGTTTGCATGGGATTAATGAAGACTCCGTCAATTTTAGAAACTCCCACCATGCTGTCAGAGAAGAGCTGATGTTGGCACATTTGAAGCATTCATGTCGTTGGATGTTTGAGCTGATAAATGGTAGGTCTGAGATCTCTGGATTATTGCAAAGTGCTTGTTCTACATCTAGCCAAGGTTCATCTAAGAGGGTATGTTTTAGCCATCCTGAGATAAACTGAAGCCTGTTGGCTAAGAAGTAGTGCTGAAAGTCAGGCAGTTCTAGTCCTCCTTTATCCTTGGTCTTTTGTAGTGTTTTAAGCTTATACGTGGGGGTTTATTTTTCCAAAGGAATTTGGACATACATGAATCTAGAGATCTGAACCAATCTTGTGGCGGTTTAGTTGGGATCATTGAGAATAAATAATTTATTTTTGGTAAGACCATCATTTTTATAGCGGCAACCCTTCCCATGAGTGATATGGGTAGACATTTCCATCTAGCCAGATCATCTTCTACCTTCTTTAAAAGTGGGATATGGTTTAATTTAGTTAGATCTGCAAGCTTGGGAGTTAGGGACTTAGTTACTTTTTAAAAACATTATATGCAACCTGAATACATAATAAAGTTACAGACCATCCATCCATCCATTCACTTCCGCTTATCCTTTTCAGGGGCGCTGGAGCCTATCCCAGCTGTCATAGGGCGAAAGGCGGGGTACACCCTGGACAGGTCGCCAGTCTGTCGCAGGGCCAACACACAGGGACAGACAACCATTCACACTCACATTCATACCTAGTGGCAATTTGTATTATCCAATTAACCTATCCCCACAAGTTACAGACCTTTCAGCCCAATTCTGGTTTTTGTGCATAATCCATCATATAAAATGTAATCAAATGAAAAAGTCTCTTTTTAAAACTTGTTTCATTAGTTTTAATCTTTTAACTTTATGCATCAAGCAAAAATGTAATTATATGCAACTGTCTTTGACTTGAAGAAATTCTTTAACATTTAAACCTGTTGTCTGCATATTCGGAGAGAAAATAAGAGAACGATCTTTTGAGTTTGCACTCTTTCAAATAGATGCAAGTCAAACACAGCAGGAAATAAATAAAATCAAAGACTCAAGTAACTGTAATCTAATTACTTTTTTGCAATAGTAATCCCTTACTTTACTTGTTATTTGAAAAACATAATTGGATTACCGTTTATTTACCGTACTGCCCTTCTCTGGTGCTGTCACAACTAATACCAGTAACAGCTCCAGTATGACAACACTGATGAAGAAATGTACCACAGAAGACGTGATTTCCAGAACCTTGAGCTGATTTTCCATCCTGCTATATTTATGACCGTGTGTCTGGATCCTGCCCAGACCTGCACTCTGCTGCATTTGATAAAGACTCTGTGACACAGCAGCTATTAAAACAACTGCTTCATTTATTCATTCAACAGGCTAAAGGAAGCCATCTGTGCCACTATTCAGAGTCAAGGTATAAAGACGCTCCTGCAGAAGTGATTCCAGTGAGTAATTCATTCATATTCACACTTACCTGTGTTCAGTTTATCTCTCCTTGCATCGTAGAGCATCCCCAAAGCAAAGGGACGACTCAAAGCAGCGACCGTCACCTGATCTGAGGCCATGTCTCCAACCTGAGAGAAACAATCCAGCAAAATGCATCAAAACCAAATATTTCTTTATTTATTTCCAAACTGGTCGTGCAGCACAGTTCATCGCATTCTTTTCAAATTAAAAACCATCTAGAGCAGCACACATTGATCCACATTCATGTTTTGAAAAACAATGGCGAAGTTCTGATCTTGGTGACATCACAGCACGATGGTTGCAGCCATGGTCCTGAAACAGGTTCCTGCATCAGTCAGTGTTTAAATCTTTAAATGGTTTTGATCTCATTAGACAAAATTTGCAGATCTCAGTGAATCTCTTGTGACTACAAAACACATTTTCCAAACTGATTCATATCTCCGGCACGTCCTCCAGGTCGTTCTTAAACACAGTGCATCAAAACTGCTCACTCGAGACTGATGATGAACCTGATATAATTCCAAGGATGATTCCTCAGGTAGATAAAGGAGGAGGAGGAAGATCACATGGACAATAAGATGCTTACATGTCTCAAAATATGATTTATTCATGTGAAAAGTGTCCTCTTCCTCTTTCTGCACACACAAAGTAATGTTTCCTTGATCCATTCCACCTGCTTTTGTCTTATTATTATTTTGATGGGAAACTATGATTTGAACATTTATTTTTAATACTGAATTTTGTGTTTAGAGTTGAGAGAAAGAAATACAAAACTCAATATTCAGGCTTAATTTAATTGTTCTCAGTTTTTTATTCGTTATTTTTAGCAGATTCCTTTTTCTTCCTCTCTGCCTCTCGGATCACTTCCATCATCACGCCATCGCCGAGTTTCAAGACTTACACCTGTAGTTGTGTTTCTGATTCATGTGTCACGAGTGAATCGCAGTAAAAACTTGTTAGTGAGTCAGAATTTGCAGAAAGTGGGATGAAACAATTTTCACAACCTGATTTACTAAAACACGATGAAACTATTTAGAACGTGAAGAGCATGTCAGAGTCAAATGAAATCGTCTCATTGTACAGAAGACAGAGCGAGTGAGAGGAGAGCATCCCTGATTACCTGCTGTAGGTGTGCAGTCCTCAGTCTTCTTGGCTCGCAGCTGCAGAGTCCCGTCACACCTGCAGGTTATTTTATAGCTGATAACGAACGCCTCCCTCCTCAGACCTACCTGAACACGTCCACCTTTTTTTATCTTCAGTTTCTTATTCAACAGGTTCCTGTGCAGGGTGTGGTATTCTGGAGAAAGCCTCCTTTTCTTTGTGATTTTCGCACAGTTTGGAGTCTGTTAGTGATGCAATAATGATAAGTGGTGTAATAACAAGTGTTTCCTTTTTTTTCTTTTTCTTTTTTTTCGTGTCCCGTTTGGATCTTTAGCATCAGAATTGTTGTCTTAAGGCCAAGAAAGATGCCAAGCGGCTTTACTTTACCAAGTGGATCATCATGGCCTTGCCATATTGGTCCATTTGATTGACCTTTATTATAATTATGAATTTATTTGATTTGATTTTCGGTTCTTACAGACGGGACAGACATGACTGGGGGATAGGGAGAAAGAATGAAAGAAAGAGAGGGAGAGAAAGAAAACCAAAGGGGAGAAGAGACGGTGAGAAGGAGGGGAAGAAAGAAAAACAACAAAAAAACAAACAAACACCTGGGTCACCTGTATGGAGAAAAAAAACAGAAGAGAAAGCAAACAACAAAGAGCAACATAATAAAAAAAACAGCACCATCACAATAAACTAGCTAGCAGTAGATATCAGTAGATACTAAATAATAAACGATATTGTGCAACACACAAGATAGACAGCGCACAATGTGCTTTGAGGCAGCAGCCAAGAAAGCTGTAGTCTGCGTCTGTGAATACCCGTGTGTACACCTGTGTGCACACCTGTGTGGATCAGCATGCTTGCATTCCAAAGGTTTCTCCATGTAACGATCTGCTAGGGAGTGTGGGGAGCCACAGCCCCGTCCTCCAGGGTATGAAGCAGGTATGGAGGAGGTCCAGGCCCCAGACATCAAGAGGCCCCAGAGTACGAGGACCCAAGAAGGACCACCAGGGGGGAACCGCGCCACCCTCCTGGGAAGAGCTGAGGAGAGCCCCAAATGAGAGGTCACCCCGCAGCCACGGAGCAGAGGCCAGAGGGGGTTGCAGTGGTGTGCCCGCGGGCTCTGCCGGCAGCCAGCTGTGTCAGAGAGGACCGAGCCCCGGCTGGGCCCCTTCCCCACCCCCCGGAAGGGGCCCAGGCGCCAGGCGCCAGACCCCGCCAATCGGCCACCAGGAGTGAGTTGGTACATACATGAGCACCCAGCCCCAGACACCAAGAACCACCAACACACCAACGACTGAGTGCCCTCAGTCGTTGGTGTGTTGGTGGTTCTCCGGCAGGGAGTGTGGTGAGGGGAGATAGGCCTCCGTACTTTGGATGGCCTGAGATGTTCCCAGAGAGCCTTTTCCTTTTTTGTTTTCTTTAGGTCACGAGCAGTTGTCCAAGCATTTCACTACATATCGTACTGTGTATGACTGTGTACGTGACAAATAAAATTTGAATAAAATTTGAATTTGAGAGGTGGAGTCTAAGACCCAAGCTGACATATAGACACAGACGAACAGGCGCACGCGGACACAGACGTGCATTCCCACCCCATATACACAACCAAATACTCGGCACTCACCCAACGTGTAGACAGACACAAATAGACACTGCACAGACAGTCGCACTCCCCAAACATACTCTATATCCCAGGTCCAGGTAACCCCGCCCTCAGAGGGGCAAGCCGCACCTAGACCCAGGAGATGTAACCCTTCTCTCTGGGGTGGAGGCAAGCGGACCACCTCCTTATCTGCAGTAGCAGGGAGGCCCCGCATCCCGGACCCCAATCTGACGGCCAGCACCTCCTCCCAGCCCCCCAGCTCCGACGGTTAACAGAATGGGGGTGAGTGAAGACCCCAAACCTCCCTCCGCCCGCTCATATATGTACCGGTTCACTCCCGGTGGCTGCTTGGCGGGGTCTGGCACCCGTGGCTTGTTCGGACCTCTTCCGGGGGGGTGGGGGGCCCTCGGCCTCTGGGCCTGGGGCTCGGTTCACTCTGGTGCTGCTGGCTGCTGGCAGAGCTCGCAGGCACGCCACTGCAACTGCCTCTGGCTGCTGGGTGACTCGTCATCTGGATCTCTCCTCAGCTCATCCACACACTGTTCATAGACATAAACTACACCTTTCCTGGCTGCGACCTCAAAGCACACTGTGCGCTGTTGGTCCTGCGTGCTGCACAATAACATTCATTATTTAGTATTTACTGTTATTTACACTTAGCTGGATTAATGCAATGGTACTATGTTTATTATGCTGCTCTCTATTTTTTCTCTTTTTTCTCTTTTTTTCTCTCTCAACAGGTGATCCAGGAGATGTTTTTTCTTTTTAAGTGCCCTTTCTCACTGTCCCACTTCCTCTCTGTTTTTCTGTTCCTTCATCTTTCTTCCTCCCTTTCTTATCCCCCAGTCATGTCTGTCCCGTCTGTAACGACTGAAAATAAAATAAAATAAATAATAACAACAAAGGTCGATCAAATGGAACAATATGGCAAGGCCGTGATGATCCACTTGGTAAAGTAAATCCGTTGGTCATCTTTGTTGACCTTCAAACATAAATTCTGACGGCTAAAGAACCAAACGGGACAGGCAAAAACAAACAAACAAAAAAAAAAAACAACATCTGCGTAAACAAGCTTGAACGTTTCAGGTTATGTTGTGAGTGTAAGAACACCTACAGTGTTCCCTGGAATAACGGCTGCTGTGCCACAGAAAGCAAATCAGCGGTAATCACTTCTCAGGAACTTTGCACTTGATGTTTTGGTCCCAGGCGTTCCCACAGTGCCCTGCAGCTCTGATTACATCACTCCCTCTGTGTCTGTTCACCTTTGAAGGAATGAAACCATAAAGCAAACATGGCAGAGCAACTAAAGAGTCAGTTTAAGGAAGGAGTGTTGTAATGTGTGTCGACTTGTGTGGTTATCATTGCTGAGAGATCTGATTTCTTCAGAAAACTTCCAGAAAGTGCTGCATGGAAATATCTCAGTAATGATCCTGATCCGTGCACATGCACGAGCAGATCAGAGTGCAGTCCCACACACCTCCGTGCAGCTCACCTCCTCCCGTCATCCTACAGAGACTGTAGGACACTGTGGGACACTGTGGGACACAGAGACCACCAAAAGAGTCAGTCTGTCTCTCTGGACATGCTGTACTCTGTACCACCCACTGTTATCATCTTCAGTGCCCTATACCAACACAGAGCAGCTCACCTGAGCCGTCGTTTCTTTCCTGATCTTTTCCTGTCTTCTGTTATCAGACCTGAGATGTGACTGCTTTCTGCTGTTGCTGATGACCCCAGTTAAGTCTACAAGACATGCTGTGTAAGTAAATACAAACAACGACAGTTTGGTCTGCATTTATTCAAAAATCACATCCCACAGACTTAGAGGGTCCACACTGTCTGCACTGCATATAGTGAAGTCTGCAAGTCAGTGAAATTTGTTTTGTGCCCACATTATTCTGCAGATCGTCAGAGCGAAAGTTATTGTCCATGTTTGCATAGCCCTTTTTAAAAGTATGCTTTCATGACATTATTGTGTGTGGGGTGGTGGTCAGGGCTATCCACACTGACAAGTGGGACATTGAAAGTCACCTCTCCAGTGGGGAGGGAGCCTGAGTCTAAATTGGAGTGTGTTCTATAGTAAATGCTGAAAAATGTGTTTAAGGAAGGAAATAAGTTGGTTATCTAAAAATCTGATTGTTTGCCTGCAGCAGGAGAGATGAGCCCTCCGTCACAGATGGTTACTGGGTCCCTCATCTGGGGCTCTCCTCAGCTCTTCCCAGGAGGGTGGCACGGGTGCCCCTCCAGTGCTCCTCTTTGGGCTCTCACCCTCTGGGGCCTCTGGATGTCTGGAGCCTGGATCTCCTTTATGCCTGCTTCATGCCCTGGGGGACGGGGCTATGGCTCTCTACATCTTCTAGCAGACCGTTACATGGGGAAACCTTT